CATAAGGTCCTGGACTCGAAGAATTGAGAATAGAGTGAGGGATATAAGACGGACACGAAGAACTGGGAGCCTCTATTGGATATTGAGTTAGTAAGGGCTTGCATGCTAGGGTTGGGTGAGGATAGGAATGGGAGGGAGTCAGTTGTTGGGTAAAGGAGGGGGAGAGAGAGAGAATAGAGAGAAAATGGAGATGAAGGAAGTGAGACAGAAGACGAAAAGGGAGGTAAAGAGATTGAGAAGGTGGGGATAGAAGAACGTAGATATTGGTGGTGGTCAGAAGACGAAGAGGGAGGTAGTAAAGAAATTGAGAAGGTGGGGATAGAAAAAACGTAGATATTGGTGGTGGTCTGTCTCTTGAGTATACATCAAATTGAATTTAAAATGCCAATAATTAGAAGATGGGAAGGAAAGGGTGAAGTAAAGTGAGAAAGACTGAGATAGATGGATACATATGTAGATAAATAGGTAAAGCAGCATAAAGAAGGAAGGGAAGAAGAAGAGATAGAGAGAAGAGAAGAAAGAGAAGAGAGAAGAAGAGAGAGAGGGGGAGGAGAGAGAGCGAGAGTGAGAGAGAGATAGAGAGAGAGCCGAGAGAGAAAAAAAGGGAAGAGAGGAGAGAAAGAACATTAATCGTTCTAAACAGCCCACGCCACCTCGAAATACAGACATTAAGTGACCTAACATCATTGCCTTTTAAACGTAGGCAGGAGTGACCTATAGATCATTAGTCATCTACCAACCTATCAGCCAAGGTGACACAAACCATTATTGTCTTTAAACCATAACGCATAAATCCAGTTTATTCATGGGAAAAGCGGTGTCATAAACCCGATAAAGGTTATGCAACACTATATCACATGATGAGATTTGAATTGGCCGTAAAAAGAAAAAGAAAAATTGTTGCTGACCTGAACTTTGACCTTTGATGTCTCCCGAGGTATGCCCAGAGAGTGTAGGCGAAATACACCCCCCCCCCCCCCAATAATGAATCCGTGTTATTTAACATTCCTTCTTCCCATTCATGCATTCTTCCATCAGAGTTGAATACTGTGTGCTTTCATTACAGAATGAGGAAGAAGAAGAGGTAAGGCATTTTTAGTGTGTATCAAAAAATAAAAAATGAAAGAGCTTCGAAATCGTTTCAAAGATTAAATACCGATGGAGGGGAATACCAAACGGTGACATTATGCTATTGCTATTATACAAATTCCTGGTCTTAAGGAATGCTTGCATTTGGCTTTTAATAGAGCTTATTCAAGGAGTTGTGTATATTTGGCATGGGGTTGATATTTAACAGGAAGGAATGCACCTATCTCTAAGAAGTATTGACACAGAAAATTGAAATATGTGAATTATTTTTTGAATAAGCTCATGAGTTTCATAATGCACATGTATATTAAAATAATTTATCATTAATTATGCTTTTGAGTGTTATGTGACTAGATTTTTCCATCCAATGCTTTGTAACAGTGATTTGTGTGACAATTTCTATTACATTTCATATCCACAATTCTGCTTTGGCAAACCAGTTAAAAGATTGACTGTATAAAAGGGCTTTAAACACCTGCTTGTCTGTGGCTTTAAATTATGCGTTTTCAGAACTAAAATGGCACATTTTTCTTTTTCCAAACATCACTAATCAAACTATGAGATTTCCATATTTAGATAGAACAGTTAGATCAGGGGTTTCCAGTATGGGGACCAAGGGGTACTTTCTGGAGAAATATAAAAAAATGTGACACTCATGGAAACTCAATTTTATCTCACCTACAATTCCTGCATGTACTTATCTCTCACATATTAAATTGGAATCTCTCTACAGTGTTCTCGTCTTATTGCTATTGACACCATTACACTAGTCATAACTACTAATAACTGAATCTGAAAAGATGGTAGTTACTGAATGTAGCCATGGATATTGTTGTATATTGATCGAGAGCAACAGAATGAAAGAGGTTGGGAGGCACTGGTTTAGCTTTTGTTATGAACAAAGTCAGCCCAATATTCCTTATCTTGAAAATGATTTACCAAACTTTACAGTTCAGACACAGTTTCAAGTAAACATATCATAGATAACACTACACAGAAATAGGAAGTTTCTTAACACTCCACACGTACCAAGAATGACTTTTAGCCATGTGTAGATGCATACAGACATGGATATAAAAAAGGCACACGTTAACGGTATACTTTAATGCAATAATTAACAGCTGTTTCCATTTTACTTGTTCTGTTAAGTTGTCCCGTTGTAATTAAGTAGGATATAAAAAGTATCTAAATTTAAAGAACAATCTTCATTCCCGACCTTACTTATCCCGTCACTTACCACTTTATAACACCCCTCTCCAGGCACAAGCGGAGAAAAGGGAACCACAGAGGAGGCGGAGAGACAGCAGAAGCGACCAGAGGGAGAAGAAGAACGAAGCGAAGGAGAAGAAAGAAGAAGAAGAAGAAGAGAAAGAGGAGAAGGAAGCCCCAGCAGGACGTTCCCGAGCTGCAGGTGAGTTCTATAGACGACCCTTTGTGCTTGACCTTACTTTTGCCCGAGAAGATGACCCAGAGGACGTCGACCCCCCCGTCGTCTACGAGCCACCGCCCCTTGAGGAACCCGGGGGCGAGGAGGGGCGCGAGGAACCCGAAGGGGAGGGTGTGATGTCTCAAGAAGGGGTAGGAGAGGGGGTGGGGGAGGATGGGGGAGAGAAGGGAGAGGAGGAGGGAAAGGCAGGGGAGAGGGAATTGCAAGTTATTGAAGAGGAAGGAGAAGGAGAAGGAAGAGAAGAAGAAGGACCAAAACCCGAGGAAGAGGAAAAGGATGAACAGCCTAGTGAAGATGTAGGAAAAGATGAAATTGAGGAGATAGCAGAAGTTGAAGAAAACGGAGAGAAAGATGGGGAAAATGAGAAAGAGGAGAACGAAAGGGGAGAGGAAGAAGATGAGAAAGAAATCGAAAAGGAAGAAGAAGATGAGAAAGAAAACAAAAAGGAAGATGAAGAAAATGAGAAAGTAGAAAACGAAGAAGGAGATGAAGGAACGGAGAAAGAGGAAACCGAAAAGAAAGATGAAGAAGATGAGAAAGAGAACGAAAAGGGAAATGAAGAGAATGGGAAAGATGAAACCGAAAAGGGAGAGGAAGAAATCGAGGAAGTAGATGAGAAGGAAGAAGAAAACGAAAAGGGAGAAAATAACGAAAAGGAACAAGAAGAGAACGAGAAAGAAGAGGAAAAAGACGAAGCTAAAGAAGTTGGAAAAACAAGAGATGAAAATAACAGCGAAAAAGAACAAGAAAACCAGTAAAAAAAAAAAATGAGGGAAGAAAAACAACAAACTGACGACGAAGAAGAAGAAAACGGAGACAGAAGAAATTCATAAGAAAAAATGGAAAAACGAAAAACGAAAAAGTAATATAAAACAAAAAACGATAAAACTAAAATCCAAGGAAATAGAAGCACAGATAACGTACAACAAAATACATCGGTTGTTACTATTAAAACTGCTACGAGCTTATACAATAATGATGTTTATAAAAATGATGATGGTGATGTGATGATGATGATGGATATTAGGATGGTGATGATAGAGCAGTTAAAAGGATTATGAACATTTATAATCTTTGCATATTTTACAATATAGTTCAGGGGGCCAGTCATAAGCCACCTCATAACTCCACTAATTAAACTTTGTGTGCAATCAGGTGTTACTCAGGATAGTAAAAATCCACTCATTCATGTCAGAAACCATTTCGTAAACTAGAAACCCGTTCAGATACCATTCAGGAAAGATGAACCATATCCATGTTGACAAATTTAGAAAGGTATGAATGAGAATGAATATCTTCACAATACAAGAGATGTATTTGACCGGTTTCTGACGAAGATGTATTTGAAACCGATCAAATACATCTCTTGTATTGTGATGATATTCATTCTCATTCGTACCTTTCTACACCACTCAGGGAGCCATCCATCTACTCAGGAAACGATTAAACTTTCTTATCTTCTCGGGAATTCTCAGGAAACCATAGACCTCATTAGAAAACAAAGAATCCAATTTAAAACCACTTTCACCTGTCACACGAGATACAGCTTCTCGGAAACCTCTCAGGAAACCATAGATCTCACTAGAAAACTTTGCATCCGATTTAAAACCACTTGCACCGGTCGCACGAGATACAGAACCTTCTAGAATCCGTTTCACTTTATTGTCCAAGAATTCGGGTTATTGTCAAGTTATTCAGATGAGTATTCTGTGAAGACAGTCGCCATTCAAGAACTGTTGTCTGATTTCAGGTACCAGGTTGTCGTTCAGGAATCGTACGTGTGTCTCAGGGTTTGGAATTACTTCCCATTTAGCTTATGTTTATCACTCAGTTACAGTTTTTCTTCTTCTTCTTTTACCAATAATCATTTTCCACAAGTCACTCTCTGTTACTCGAAGCTACCATTTTTTTTCTCAGGAACTGTAGTCGGCACTTAGAAATATTTAGGCAAATAAGAATAGAATTTAGAATTTAGGAAATGGAGGTGAATCAGATCACTCAACTCAAGAGCAGATACCCATTTGGTAAATTTTCGTGAAGCAGATCTGCAATCCTGAGTCGTTCTATTGAAACAGTTTTGTCATTTAGGACACTTTGGTTATGTGCAGAATCAGTCAAGAAAATTTAGTTAGAATTAAATCAGTAGTTAGAGATTCTCCAAAATAATTCAGGATTTGAACTTTCGTCTCGAACCGAACCGTCAATTCTTACTTAAGGTAAACAAGGACTCCATTTAGAAACATTCTTTTGTGATTAAAAAGGCCATCAAGAAACCTTCAACGGACGGGAACGCTTATGAAGTGCATTTTGTCATGAATTACCTTATCAAACAACAATATTCACGAACCAAATCCTAAATTCCATACGAGCGAACCGCAATCGTCGATCCATAACACCACCTCTCTTTACGAATCACGAATCCTCTAGAAAAATCCTCAGTGAACCGAATAACATTTACACACAAATGGAACCGCCACAGAACTCAGGAACCACTTCCCACCTCCCTCTCCCTACAAGAACCATCCAGACAAAGCACCAGAAGAATCAAGATCTTACGAGAACAGTGAGACGAAGAACAAGAAGGTCGAAAGAACAATGACACACACACATAGAACCGCCACTCAGGAACCACATCCCACCTTCCCTCCCCCTACAAACCACCAGAACCAGGACCTTCCGAGAACAATGAGACGAAGAACAAGAAGGTCGAAAGAACAATGATAATTTTCTGGAAATCGTCTTAGTAATAACTCAAGGAGACAACGGCCGCCCAGGTGTTCAGATTGCGTGATGTTCCTCAGTCATTAGGGGATACCTGGATGAACCTCAGGTGTCCTTGTGCTAAAGCTATTGGCCTGTCGGTGGTGGTTGTATTGGCTATCGTCTATGCTTTTTTGGGTATATGTTGATTTGTTTTTCTGCTTGTTATATATGGGTATATGTATTTTTTTCAAGGTTGTATGTATATGTTTTTTTTGCTTATTATATGTCTCCGTTTTTTATTGGTATGTGGTGATCTGTTCTAGCTCGTCATATGTGTTTTTTATTGATATGTGTTGAATTGTTTTTCGCTTGTTAAATATGTGTCTCTGTTGTTTCCACTGGTATATTTATTATTTTTCACTGAGTATATATATATATATATATATATATATATATATATATATAATATATATATAAATATAATATAAATATAAATATATATAAATATATATATATATATATATATATATATATATATATATATATATATAATATATATATATATATATATATATATATATATATATATATATATATTATATATATATATATATATATATATATATATATATATATATATATATATATATATATATAATATATATATATATATATTATATATATATATATATATATATATAATATATATATATATATATATATATATTTATATGTCTGTTTTTTTCACTGACATGTTGATCTGTTTCTCGCTTGTCATATATTTATCTGTTTTTTGTTGTTGTTTTTTACTGGTATACATTGTTTTTCGCTTATTGTATATATGTTTGTGTCTGTTTTTTGTTGTTGTTTTTTACTGGTATACATTGTTTTTCGCTTATTGTATATATGTTTGTGTCTGTTTTTTGGCCATTGATATATTTTGATTTGTTTTATGCCTATTATATATGTGTGTATTCGTGTGTGTTTTTTATTGGTGTACGCTGATTTCTTTTACGCTTATCGAATATGTGCTTGTGTTTTCTTTCTTTAATTCATGTTGGTATATTATGTATATGTGTCTTTGTGTTGTTATTCATTATTATGAAATAAATGAGTTTATTGGCTGTTGCAATCCTGTGCCTTTTGATAGTGTTGTGTTATAATTACATTAGTTTTAGTGAATGTCTGGTCATATTTTGTCCATTAATATTTGTGTGTTGATATTACATTGATATACGAGAATCTGAAGAATATGTAAATGAATTAAATCTTCGCCCGCCTCTATATACACTTTGTTGTGAAGAAACAAGGGGAAGCCACAACAGGTCGTTATATACATTCAACGTGATATAATGAGCACCTCTCCATAGCGTGCGTGATCCCCGGCACTCTTATCAAGGTACCAGACTACCTTTGGAAGCTCTCCTAAATGTCAAGAAGTCATTATTCATAAATGTCGCATTTTTTAACGATTTTCTTGGGATTTTAGAAGCTTCCGAATTCCGCTCGAATTTTGCATTTGCTTTGATCCAGCTTGGGTTGAAACGTCCGCCTCAGATTTTGCGGACACGTGTGGGTATGACGCGAAATTCCGCTACGTAATTTCCACGCTTTCAGGAATGTAATCTGGACACGTCGAGCCACGTAATAACAAGCCAGCGGTGTACATCTAAAGTAGACACCTCAAGGTCAACTTACTAAAGACTACAGAGTGCGTGTGGGTAATGCTGCCCCACAATTACCTTCTCGCTGTACTTTCGGCCGTTTCCGAAGGTCGTCGAGGCGTCTTAGGCCCGCGACCCCTCCTTCGCCCGTCCCCCTTCGGCGTGGCGGCGCTCCGTTACTCACCCGACCTTGCGACGGGGTGGCAGCCCTGGAAATAACTGCCGGGAATTTACGGCCTTCTCGCTCGGGCAGGAATCTTAAGGATTAATTCCCTGCGGGTGGACGGGGCTTCGTAAACACGGGCGGGCGAGGGGCGGCACGTGTAAAGATCACTCGGCCGCCGCCTGGCCCGGCCTCATCGATCAGGGGGAGAGACGCGGGGGCTTCTTCGCCTGCAACCCTCTCATGGCACCCTCGCCCGCCATTAATATTATCTAGGAAGCCCTGTGTAGGAATGCGTCCGCCGGAGGGTCACTCCACGAAAACAAAATTATCCGGAAACCGAGGAAAAGAGGCATAAGGACCTCCGCCATGCGACCCACGTGCTCGGGAGTTGCATGCCGCGCGCGAGTGAGTGGCGGCCGTGCATTACAGCA